AGGCATCAAAGAGATTGATAACAATTGAGAAAATAAGGTACATTAACAAGCGGTGATTAGGTGACACGAAGCTTGGGTTGTAAAAGTCTTTCGATTGACGATGGGGAGATGAACTGAGAGATTCCATAGTTTTTGGCAAAATTATTTAGATAAAATGATAATACATTGGCCACAAAACACGCTATCACTACATTTTACAGCAAATCTTGTGAAATACTTTGGGACATCCTCCCGACGGAAAGACGCTATACTGAATGTAAGGATTATTATTTTTATAATATTCCTTGAATTTGATTTAGTCCCTTTCACATCAGGAGGATGTCTCAAAGTAATTCACAGGATTTACGGTAAAATGTAGTGACTGAGTATTTTATAGGCAGTGTCTATTTTAGGCAATGCAATGAATTAAATGTAAGGGAGGAAAAAAAGCGGACAGTGTAGCACCTTTAGCGTTCAAGAGAAATGAGAGGAAAACTCAGAGGAACAATGATCATTGTAATTTTGATACACTATAGAAAGAACATAAGAATTTGCTAGACGAAAGAAGACCCAAGGTCCATCTAGTTTGCCTTCCACCATCCTAGTAGTTGCTTGGCATGTCGTGTCCCAAACTATACCCCGTAATAGATATATAGAAGAGAGAAAGAGAGGTTGAAGAGATGAGAAAATGACCATCTATCATTTCTTGTTTAATCTTGCATTGGATAAATACACTTTTATTAGAATGTAGCATCCAGCTTTAGCAGAAATACCCACATGTCTTCAGTTTCTTCTGAAATTAGTGATTTTAAAATGAATTTATGATTTTATCATCTGTATTAGTTCAAACAAACATGGAAACAAACTATTCAAGAATTTGGATTTTTATAATGTCTTCTCACATAATATAACTATTAAACCTTGCACTTGACATAGCACCTTATCACGTCTTCGAGACGTCTCAAAGCGCTTCACAGAATATACTGTAAAGTGAATTGACTGTACATTTGTGGGAGAAACGTGGCAGCCAATTGCGCACAGCAGTGTCCCACAAACAGACGTAGATTGAAGTGACCTTTTTATTATTGTTTTTTTTTCTTGAGGGATTATAATCAGGCGTATGGAGTAAGGAAACTTGCTCAAGGTCAAAACGTACAAAATAATTCACAGATAATTATTGTCAAGGTAGTGAATATTTCTGTATGTAGATGATTAGGATGGGTTGAGGCTCACATAGACACTGGCCCAGACTAGTTGGGTCAAATGGCTTATATTTGTGCTGTAACATTCTATGTAATTCTATGCAACATGTGAACCATTAGTGCCAATGAAGTCCAACAAATAGCCATAATACGAATGACCAGTTGATCTGAGGATTATTGCCTACCACACAAGGAGAAACTCCCTTCTGTTTACAAATAGTCCTATAGTGGAGTCCTGTAGCTCAGTGGTTAGAGCACTCGCCTTGCAAGCGAGACACCTGGGTGCAATTCTAGCCAGGGCGAAACCTTGGGCAAGTTTCCTAACTCCACAAGACTGATAATAATCCGCCAAAAATAAAAAATAAATTGGTCATTTTCAATCCACGACTGTTTGTGGGACACTGCTGTGCGCAATTGGCTGCCGCATTTCGGCCACAAATATACAGTGAATTCACTTTACAGTATATTTTGTGAAGCACTTTGAGACTTCGAGAAGACATGAAAAGCGATATAACAAATGCAAGAATTATTATTATATTATTATAATAAATAGTGTGTTAACCTGGCTCAATGGTAGCACTCTCATTTCTGTGGAAATCCAGAGGTGAAATGAGAAGAAATGGGAAATCCAGAGGAGAAACAAGAAGAAATAGGAAATCCAGAGGAGAAATTAGAAGAAATGGGTAATCCATAGGAGAAACGAGGAGAGATTGGGAAAGTCCAGAGGAGAAACGAGGAGAGATTGGGAAAGTCCAGAGGAGAAACGAGGAGAGATTGGGAAAGTCCAGAGGAGAAACGAGGAGAAATTGGGAAACCCAGAGGAAAAATATGAAGAAATGGGAAATCCAGAGGAGAAACGAGAAGAAATGGGAAATCCAGAGGATAAACGAGTAGAAATGGGAAATCCAGAGGAGAAACGAGAGGAATTGGGAATCCAGATGAAAAATATGAAGAAATGGGAAATCCAGAGGAGGAACGAGGAGAAATTGGGAAATCCAGAGGAGAAACTAGGAGAAACTGGGAAATCCGGAGGAGAAACGGGAAGAAATGGGAAATCCAGAGGTGAAACAAGAATGGGAAATCCAGAGGAGAAACTAGAAGAAATGGGAAATCCAGAGGAGAAACTAGAAGAAATGGGAAATCCAGAGGAGAAACAAGAACAAATGGGAAATCCAGAGGAGAAACGAGGAGAAATTGGGAAATCCAGAGGAGAAACAAGGAGAAATTGGGAAATCTAGAGGAAAAATAAGGAGGAATGTGAAAACCAGAGTAGATGCGAGAACAAATGGGAAATCCAAAGGAGAAATATAAAGAAATGGGAAATCCAGAGGAGAAACGAGAAAAAATGGGAAATCCAGAGGAGAAACAAGGAGAAATTGGGAAATCCAGAAGAGAGACGAGAAGAAATGGGAAATCCAGAGGATTTTTTCCTTGTTTCTCCTCTGGATTTCCTAATTTCTTCTCGTTTCTCTTCTGGATTTCCAATTTCTTTTCGTTTCTCCTCTGGATTTCCTATTTCTTCATATGTTTCCTCTGGATTTCCCAATTTCTCCTTGTTTCTCCTCTGGATTTCCTAATTTCTTCTAGTTTCTCTTCTGGATTTCCCATTTCTTTTAGTTTCTCCTCTGGATTTCCCATTTCTAGTTTCTCGTCTCGATTTGCCATTTCTCCTCGTTTCTCCTCTGGATTTCCCATTTGTTCTCGTTTCTCCTCTGGATTTCCCATTTCTTCATATTTTTCACCTGGATTCCCATTTCTTCTCGTTTCTCCTCTGGATTTCCCATTTCTTCTCATTTCTCCTCTGGATTTCCCATTTCTTCTCATTTCTCCTCTGGATTTCCCATTTCTTCATATTTTTCCTCTGGATTTCCCATTTCTAGTTTCTCGTCTCGATTTGCCATTTCTCCTCGTTTCTTCTCTGGATTTCCCATTTCTTCTCGATTCTCTTCTGGGTTTCCCATTTCTTCATATTTTTCATCTGGATTCCCATTTCTTCTCATTTCTCCTCTGGATTTCCCATTTCTTCTCGTTTCTCCTCTGGATTTCCCATTTTTTCTCGTTTCTCCTCTGGATTTCCCATTTCTTCTCGTTTCTCCTCGGGATTTCCCATTTCTTGTTTCTCTCGTTTCTCCTCTGGATTTCCCATTTCTTTATATTTTTCCTCTATCAGAAGGTTGTGGGTTCAAGCCTCACATCAGAACTCGGAATCATACTCACTAAGCTGATACTCCAATGCAGTACTAGGTTTGTTGTACATTGTTGGAGGTGCCATCCTTCAGATGGGATGTTAAACCAAGGTTCTGTCTGCCTCTTCAGGTGGACATGAAAGATCCCATAGTGCTGTTTGCAAAGAGAACAAAGTTTCTCTCAGTGTCCTGGCCAACAAATCCCCCAAATAAAATTGTTCACTCATTCCATGACTGTCTGTGAAACCTTACTGTATACAAACTGGCTGCCCACATCAATCGATTTAACAGTATATTATGTGAAATGCTTTGAGGCATCTCAACTACCTGATAAGGTGCTATATCAAATGCAAGGATTATTAATATTATTATCAACTAAGTTAGTAGAGTTGCAGGATGATAATAAATTGTATTCAATGTATTTTTGCACACCAATAAATGTGAAAGTTATGGCTCTAAATGCTTTGACCTGAACCAACCTAATATAGAGTAGTTGTAACAAACTTCAACTTTAGTTAACACACATTCAGATATTAGGTGCTACAATTGCAGTTTAGGTACGTTATTAAGCTACTTTTATATTATTAAGCGGTAAAATTGCTAAATTTTCCATTATTTCAAGGTTCCTGAAAATATATAACAAAGTAATGCTAAATATTTTAGCACCAAATACAGATTCACAGTCACTAGACTTCAGATATAACTCAGCGAAGTGCGTTGAGATGTTGGGATGTGCTACGGCATGAAACCCCAGGCCAGAATTATTCTTATTATTCTTATAAATTGGTCCCAAATTAAGTGAAAAAGTGAGATCCAGCAAACTTGTAATCCCTGACACTTGCCATACCCTTTGCAATTGCCTTATTTATTTTGCAAATAAGGTGAATAGACAAATTGTCCATTTATGTTCTTCTTATATATGCATTCTGGAACTTTAAGCTTCCAAACTTTAGCTTTGAAGAACTAATACATGGGGGGTTACTATAATTACATAATAAACCTTGCATTTGATATAGTGCTTTACCATATTGGGGGGGGAGTGGGGGACTTATCCAAAGTGCTTCCCAGAATTGTCTGTCAAGCATTGCTTCGGTTGCGTTTGGTGTGCAAACCGGGCGGCTATTTTTGCAGAACAGGTGGATAGTCATGAAGTGAATGATGACTTTTATAACCGGTGGTGGTGGTGGTGGGGGTTGAGGAGTGTGTGTGTGTGTGTAAAAAAAAATCTTAACGCAATCCTGACCCGAGGAGGAGACGAGACAGGTTGTTTTGCAGCCTTGGCTGTCTGACAGCACGGGACGCGGGACGCTGCTCGCAGGGGCTGTACACGGTGGTTCAGTGCGTGTGCAAACGACCCCTGGCGGCTGGTCCTCGGCAGCGTATTGAGCGGAGAGGCGAGGCGAGCGCTCCCGAACCTTCCTCTCAGTTCACGTCTGCTCCGCCGACGGGGGTGAGGCTCCTCCAGCACAGCATCGCGCATCCAGAGGGGAGGAATCCGGGAAGGGGACGAGGAAGGACGGCGCGTCGTTCAGCGCACAGCGAAGACCGAGGGAAGGAAGGCACGAGGGGCAGCAGAGGAAGAAGAAGAAGAAGAAGAAGTGTGTGTGTGTGTGGGGGTAGTGGTGCTGGTGGTGCTGGTGCTGGTGCTGGTGGGAGGGGGGGGTGGGGGGCAGCGACGATTGATTGCACGATGCTCTGCTCCACACCACTGCTGCGCGCTGTGAACCTCTGCTTTTCGGTGAAGCTCCTGGTTTTATTGACTGAAGCCGGACAGCCCGAAGGCAGTCTGAACATGTGGATAGATGCTCACCAAGCCAGAGTTTTGATAGGTGAGAGCAAACGTTACAATGCCTTTTAAATAACGATGTGCAACAGTAACATTACATCCCCCCCCCCCCCCCCACACACACACACACACCATCACCAACCTCCCTCCCTCCCTCCCTCCCTTTTAAAATAAAGACCATTACAGTCTATCGATGGAAGATCCACGTTTATTTGACGACAAAAAAAAAGTGATTTTTTTTTCTATCGACCCCCCCCCACCCCCCACCCCCCCCCCCAAAAAAAAAACGGTAGACGCGATCCTCACGATTGAAGATCACCGGCTGTGATCGGGGTATCTTTTGCAATGCAGCGTTCGCTGTGCACTGAGTAAAAGAAGGTCCAACAAAAACCTGTTGGGTTCGCGGAGAAGCCAGGATTGGAGATGGAAAAAAAAGCTATATTGCTGTCTGAGCAAAATCTTTCCCATGTGCATAGCCCCATCCAATCTAAAACCATCGTGTCTTGACGACTTTGCTGGCGATTCCGGCTTCCTACACCCCCCCCACCCCAAAAAAAAAAAACCCCACACACACAGCACACTCACATTGAGAGCATCCAAGATGTAACCTGCACTGCAGTAAGATCCGAATGGATCCGTTGCAAACTTCCAACAGGATCTGCTGTGTGGATGCAAGTGTCTCAATGCAAAGCAACACACACGTGTGGCAGTTCCAGACTGGCTCTTGAATAGTTTGTGGATATCATTTAGGAAATCGGATTCGTTTTTAAACGTGAAATCCTATTTTGGTGTGTGTGTGTGTTGTGTGTGTGTGTTTGTGTGTGTGTTGTTAAGGACAAGTGAGCAGTGCTGTTTCAATGGCTTAAAAGGATGTTCCACTCAATACCTGCATCGCTGTTCCTAACTCGCCTCTATTCTGGGGATAGAGATGAAACCACAGCGTCAGGCAAACAGCAGATCCCTAAAAAAAACACAAAAAGCCTAACTAACCTTCGTCAAACTTTTGCCTTATAGGTTTCGAGGAAGATATTCTTATCGTGTCTGATGGGAAAATGGCACCATTCACCCACGATTTCAGGAAAGCTCAGCAGAGGATGCCAGCTATCCCGGTCAACATCCAAGCCATTAACTTCACCTGGCAATCCACGGGGCAGGTAAATCAATGCACGAAGCCGCAGTGAATTAATAATAATAATAATACTCCTTGCATTTGATATAGCGCTTTTCACGTCGGGAGGACGTCCCAAAGCGCTTCACAGAACACACTGTAAAGTGAATTGACTGTATATTTGTGGGCGAACGCGGCAGCCAATTGCGCACAGCAATGTCCCACAAACAGTCATATCGATTGAAATTGACCAATTTATTATTGTTTTCGTTTTTGGAGGGATTATTATTAGGCGTGTGGAGTAAGGAAACTTGCCCAAGGTTTCGCCCTCTGCCTGGAATTGAACTCAGGTCTCTCACTTGCAAAGCGAGTGCTCTAACCACGGAGCTACAGGACTCCACTCCACGAATTCACTAGCAAAGCAAATGATTGGCTTATAACAGCCTTGTATCTCCACGGATTTCCCTTTAGTTCACAAACCCTGCATATTAGAAAATGATGTTCGTTGAAAACATTTGATCATAACGAATGGCAGTAAACAATACAGTGGTACAGTGTGTTGGGGGGTGGGGGGCACACACACACACAACTGATTCGATTGACACAATTGCAATAATTGTTGCAGCTCCTCTATTTTTTTAATCTTACCCCCTGCTACAAACAGGGGAATACATAAAGGATGTGGGTGGGTGGATGTGCTTTCTAAGAATACCCCCTCCCTTCCCCCCCACCCATTGCATCTTTTGAAATATTCAGCAGGTTAAAACCCAATCGTTAATGACCGCTTTTGTACAAAAAAAAACAGGGCACTATATAATTGGATATCAGTGACACACTCACGACAGATATCATCGAAACATAGGCGAAAATGTTTTAAGAATTTCTTTTTTTTAACAAGAGGATTAACTTTGAAAGTGAAACACTTGGCCCTGAAAAGGGGAAGGTGTTCAGATACTATCAATAACTATTTCAAAGTCACAATTTTCCCAATAGTGAGAGATTTGTTACTTTAAAAAAATATACCCCCGATGCTTAGTGGGTAAAGAAAGATCACCACTCGGCTGAGCTTTAGGTCATACAAAATCAGAAGGTTGTAGATTCCAATGCAGGACTGTGTTGAGTTAGTTGAGTTTAACGGGGCAGCATTTGTGAGACTCCATTTGGCACCTACGACCTTGGGTTGGGGAGGGGAATGTAGATCAGGATATTCTTTTCTGATCATTATCCAGAGCGTTGTGCTGGAAGATGCCCGTGTGTGATGTTGGAATGTCCACAGGATTAAGCTTGACTACAATAATAATAATCCTTGCATTTGATATAGTGCCTTATCACGTCTTCTAGACGTCTAAAAGCGCTTCACAGAATATACTGTGAAGTGAATTGACTGTATATTTTTGTGGTCGAGAAGCCCAAGTAAGGTTCAAGTGGTCTGCCAGTCAAAGCTGTGTCCAGCAAACTCAATGTCAATTGAAGAATGGACAATTGAGTGTGGTGCCTGGAAGGTGATGATGAGTCAAAAGTGCTCATGAAACTGTACCCCAAGTAGGAAGAAGAGTAAAATGCTTCCAAGAGAAGCGGGGAAAATAATAGTCTTGGTTTCCATTGTCAACACAACACCTGTATATAAATAATGAATTACCAAATGGCATCAATTTGAATATCGAAGTTATTAAGATATGGATAGGTTTATTAACTATTTATATTGCCCATACATTATACATATCCCTCCAGTACTACTGTGGTATATCATTGTGTGTCTTTGTTCCATAGTATCTTGTCTGTCAGCTATAATGTCACCAAACAGAAAAAATACCTTGGTTTTATGACCTATATCCACCACAGCTTGAACGTCAATGTGAATTTTGCCTGTAGCTTGTAAGCTTTGTTTTACAGAAAGTGGCTCTTGTTGAAAATGAACTCCTTTGAAGTCTTAATATTTTTATCATGTTCCACTGTGGTATTTTGCATCCCAGTGTTGTGCATGCCAACCAAGATTAAAGCAACCGGCCCAGGAGATACCACTTTATTCAGTGCAATATGCATGTGCTAGCCATCTGTTCTGTCTACTAACAGAAAATAACAGTGATAAACTTCTCAGACTTCTGCCAAACCCAGACTTTATTGCCTACAGGAGAAGGTTTGATAGTTATCTTGTGATCTACATCTGGTTTCACTGGAACTGTACATCACACAAATACAAACTTCATGTTTATGTGGCAAACATCATAGCTGGACTTGTTGGGTATCAAAATCAGAAAATGTCCACTCTCTCTAGCAGAAAAAGAAAATTTCATACACTAGTTTATTTTTATGGTAGTAGATTAGCCAGGAAATTGTCTCCCTGAAAAACAGTCAGGATTATTTTGGATCAAGTTTTAAAGGGAATATTAAAATAATAAATCACTCGACAAACTAGATTCACTGGTTACATCAATTATTAATGCTTTGATAGCACTGGGAACATTGGCATTTACCGTGATAGTCACGGTAAATTGGCAAAAAAGAGATTGAATACAAAATGAAACAAGCCCCACGATCTTTATAATATATCATTTAAATAATAGATACCTTGAAATGGGCTTCAAGGCTGCAATCTCTTGTGATTCATACAAAGGTTACAAAGCACTCAAAAGTTCAGTTTCTGATGTCATCTCATCGAATCTCCCAATGAGCTTTCTGCCTTGCAGTCCCTCACAAGCACTCCTACCATCAGTGCAAAGGTAAAACTTCTGCCACCGTCTCTACTACCTATCCAAGACTGTTCAATATTTTCAAAGAAAGGTAAATTGATAGTGATTTGCAAGATATTCTTCACAATATTGTTACTATCTGGATAGAAGCTAGCATAGATTTACCAAATACAATACGAGTGAAAATAAGCAGTCAAAATCAGAATTTAAATTGTATATCAAACAACACAATTATTGGTACTTGTCTAAAAAATTTTTTTTATTGTAAACATCAATCCTTAGGGAAATATAACCAGAGTTTTAGGTTTTGGTTTGTGCAAAAAATCATTCTTGGCACTTTATCTTTGTAGACATGATGTAAAGAAAAGCTTATTTTCCTTCAGTTTCAAAACCAAAACCTCAATCAATCTACAAAGAGAAATGCCGTCTCTTTAATTAAGTGCGGAGTTAATTTGCATACCTGTTTGAGGTAACCTACTGATGTTAGATAAATCCTACCCACCCCATATCGTTCTTTTTGACTGGGTTTGGGGATTTCATGTCACGGCTCAACAAATGCTAAAAGAACAAGGTGTCCAGGATCATTAATTTCACCAGAGAGGAAGTAACCCATGGTTTTACCTTTGATCAGATGTATGCTTTGGTGTATAAGCGAGTACTTTAGGATTAGAGGTAGGCTAACAACTTCGACTGGGAGCTTGAATGCCTTAACATCATCATCGGATCAAACTGTATTTTTCAATTGAAGGCTGCCTTTGATAGAAGATTCCTAGGGTAGTTACTAACATGTTAAATTGCATTGTGTCAGTAGGCTATTGGTAGCTGAAAATGTATTGGAGAAGTCTTTTTTCTTATGGCCAAAAACGTGCAAGCTCATTGTTCCATATGATCATAATCTTAACAAAAATAACAGCCTATGGGTAATGGCATATTAGGAGGATTTCATCTCAAACTTCAAAGCTATCTTCAGAGACTTAAGAACAAAGACTTTGAGGCATGAAGCGTGGCCTACTTCAGTCTGTATGACTTATCCATGATGATTACTATTCAACAGTTGGATTAACCTTTCCGCTTGCTGTGAACTTTCTCTCATCACAGACTCATGTGGTTCATTAGCACTAAAAAATAACTGAATTTGATTGTTTTAAGTACCAATTTCACACAAATTTGCTGCACAGATTCAGATATTACAATAGTAAAGATATGGATCAAGTTTCCAATCAGCGTTTATGCCAACATACGGTAACAATTAACATTTCCCAAATACTTAATATACATAAACAAAATCATATAAACATGGCTTAAAGACAGTGTTCAGCTCCTGAGTATTTTTCCATAGCCCAAAATAAAAAACACAGTTTCTCTGCTGGATGTAGCTCTAGGCCTAGAGCCATGGAAATGTACAACATAGCAGGGGGGCAATTTGAGCTATTGTTTCATGTAGATATTTGTTCCTCCAAGAAGTTACCATCCTTATCCCAAATCCATACCCTTCCGTTGTACCATCTAGTAAACTTCCCCTGCATGTGCTTGTCCAATTCATTTTTAAATGCCCCCAATCAACTCTTCTCCAATAGCCAACTTGCAAATCATTCTATACCCTGATAACCCTCTGAGAGAAGTTCATTACTTCATGAAATCAAGCAGACAAACAATCTTGACCACGCTGAAACCATGGAGCAAGTTATTTAAATTCTAAGGACAAAATGCCAATTGTTTACAACTATTTCATTCATATTTCTATAAATAAAAATGAGTCCTTTATTGAAGAGATCTACATTAAAGTTTCCTGAGCAAATGCTCTTTCTGATTATTCTTTTTCATTTATTCCCTGACCCAGACTTTCTCTCCTTATACTAGTGTCTGATCATAACCCCAAACTTGTATTCTTATGCTCTTCATCCCTTTATCGGTTTGTCTTACACTTACTCGAAGCTTATATAAATTACCCTTCCAATGAGAACTAAATCTTTAGCTCTATGTTGGGGAGTTAGCTGTGTCACAGAAACACTGTACAAAGTTTGTGTCATCGAAAATAATGGATACACAAAAAATATCTTAGTGCAATGGTCAAGTGTTTAGAATTATTATCTAAATCACTTGCTGAGATTAGATAGCTGTCCATTGCTTTCTAAATAACAAACATCTTCAATATTATTTCCTATTGGTTAACACAGATAACCTCTTGATAAAATTGCAGGGGTAATCCCATAATTGTCAATCTTTGAGTGTGCTTTGGCTATGGGGAGCACTTTTATTATCTACGTGTACTCTGATTGCTTGGGCCAGAAAATTACTGATCCAAATTGAATTAAACGCCTTCGGGATACACGGTTGCTTACAAATACACTTTAACAAATACTTGTGTTACAAATACTCACTTACAAATACACAGTCACAACACTATAGTAAAATCCTGTGAAGCTCTTTAAGATGTTTTGATGACCTGATAAGGCATAGTATCAAATGCATGCATTATGATATACTGTATTATCAAAATTAACAGATAACCAAGCTGGTATTGACAATTCACGTTTATGATGCCCTTCAAACTCTGAGTTAAGTTTATTAGCTTGTAAACACTTCTAGGTGTTCATTACTCTCAATTTAATTATTTTAGTTAAATCAGTTAAACTAGAAAACAGTCAATAATTCAATTTAGCCAAGGAAATGTAGAATAATAGATACTATAGAAAACTGTACAAACTCATGGTGTCAAATGGTAGCAACAACTAATGACATAAAGTGTTTCTCTCTTAGGTACTTCAATCTTTGACAAAATCGACATGTTCCGTATTACAGTACAAAACAAATATTTCGGATTCTATCTATCAAAAGTCATGCACAGCTTCTGTTTCAAACAGAGCAATCAATAATTTTTTAGATTTCTTGTTTTGGTTTGTCCACTCATTAAGTAAGAGAATGATTTACCCTGATTCAGAAACTGGTTAACCATGATACACTTTTCTATACTTTTAAAAAATGAATGGTTAAAAATTCCTTTCAAAGTTTTCCCGCATCGCCTTCGGGCACGCTTTGCCAAAAGGACTGTAATTATTGCTGAACAGAATTTCTGTTTGTGATTATGGGATTGGAGGGATGGGGTAAAAAGAGGTCTTGTCTCTCTTATTGGTAAATCTACCAATCTTGGCGTGGTAAACTTATAATGAAATTCTCCCCATTATAGACCACAGCCAGGTCAGTAACTATATTTGACAAGTGGGCTACCTTGCGTTTTGTTTTTTGGCATCTGTAAATGATAGTTTTTGAACATGGATTACAGGGTCTGTATTTTTATGAATTCCAATCACTCCGGTCACTGGATAAAGATGTTATGGGAGATCCAACTGTGAACATTCCATTACGAGCCACAGTCTCAAACAGGCCCACAGGTCAGTACATTTTATGTGTTCCTTACTTCCTGCTCTGTGTTAGATACACTTTTTTCAGTGTCTGTGCTTTGAATTACCACCTGCCTGCTCTATTGATAGTCAATAAACCACAGGAAAGTTTTTTTCAGAGCTCTGTTTCCCGAAACTGAAGTCGTTTTCAGTTGTCAAATGAAATTTACAAAGATACAAGCATTGAGCTTAAAATGATTACAGCAGGGTCAAAAGCATTGATGATACTCAAATAAACATGGAATTATTTCATCTTACCATTTTCTAAAAAAAACACAATCAAAACTTTCTGGTGAATTTAAATACTGTTTATGTTTGATGATAAACATTTGAACAGTACAGCGAAAAGTTTCATCCTTTACATTGATTTTATTTGGAGGGTGAGGCTGCCTTTCTTAAGATATCTTCCTCCTTTCCTTAATTTAATGTCCTCCAGCCACACACTAACCTCAACATGGAAATAAACTCATTGATCTGCTCTCTAATTCCTGTAAGTGATGCATCAGAACTGGCTACTAGGAGTCAAGCAGGAGTGACAGCATTGAATGGATGACTGCACTTTTTCACTGTTGATGGTAAAGCACATAGGCTCCACTGTGCCTCTGTCCAGAACACTAGAGCTGCTATTGGGAACTCAGTCGGTGTGAAGCTAATGTCGCAATGCTCTAGATCTGTCCCTGGTGTTCTTCCCTTTCATTGTCAATGTTTGATGAAAGGAGGCAACATCCTGGCATTTAAAATTAATAGGATCCACCGCCATTGCCTTTAGGTTGACTACTAATCTATAACCGAGAATGCAATTTTATATTATTTACACATGTCCAAGTTACGATCTATAGGTAATCATACACAAAACTACTTCTTACACTTTTAGAAGTAATGTAAATTTAAATACTGTAGTAGTATTTTTGTCTTGCTTTCCAACCTTCTGGCCCTCCAACTCCATTTTTTTACCCAACTCCTCTCTCCTGAAGTCAGTGACTCATCCCAATGTGCAGTTCCGCAGGTCTAGGCAGCCTTTCAGGATTGTGCCAAAGTGGTCAGCCAGCCTGGTCTGAGCCTTGACAATGAGGGATGGTTGCTATATGACTGTACATGGGACCAAACCAAAGGCTGATCCTTCATTCAGCCAGTTGTGCATTCGTCCATGAAACACACAGCCACTGCATTTTATCATATATCCTCTGAAACCCTTTGGGACTCCCTCCTGATAGGCATTATAAAAATGTAAGGACTATTTATTATCTATTAATTATTTATCATCCAGGCACACACACTTTCCAGGAGCATTCACTGTTACGAACGAAAAAAAGAGTGGAATGAGTAACTTCCATTGGGAACGCCAAGCCACCCCTTCCGCAGTCATTTGATCTTGAGTTATACGCAGTAATTTCATTTACTGTAAATGAAAGTTGATCAAGCTGTGTAGATTTGGAACGCATTACAATCGGCATTTTAAATTCTAACAACCTCCCACTTTTTGAGTTCATTTCACTCCCCTTTATAAAATAATTTGAATCTTTGCACATGACTCTACAAGATTTTATTTAAAAATCCTGAACAAAAACATAAACAGAACAGAAACTGTGAAGAGAAGGCTTGTTATTTTTTGTAGAAAATGTAACATTGATGGATGAAACTCTTCAGGACTGCTGCTGTTTGTGCATGTTTTCTTTGAGTTTGTTGATGCATATAAATCTCAAGTGGTTCTGTGGTGTATATGAAAGCTTGCTGCAATCCTTTTAAGATGATCTCTGATAAAATGATTTCTCTCACAACACCAATCTGTTTTAATTCGAGACTGCCACTATTCCATTGCTTAATAATATAAATTTCCTATGAAGATCACAGTTTAGTGGGCAACAATTTAGGAGATCTTGTATAGTCGGCACTCAAGAACAATACTTGTTGAAAGACGAGAGTTACACGGAAATTTGCAAAAGCCTTGTATTTACTCTTGTGTGCTGGAAACATTTCAAATAAATCAAAGGTACACAGTCTGAAAAAAACATTCAAAAAGGAAGTTGAGTGTATACTAGAACTAAAGACATTAAGATCCAGCATAAAGCGGTGTAGAAATGCATGTTTTTTTTAGGCTAGTTATGTAATAAAGTCAAGATTTTGAGTCTCAACCATCTTCAGTACAGAGAGGCTTAAGATTTGGATGTTTTCAAATCTTTTACTGTACATTATGTGAAAATGTAAATCATGAAAAGCAATGGTTTTATAGTTTTCAGTGTTAACATAAGTTTGTCCTTTCTTTAGTTGTACAGATTGGATTTCCTTGCCTTGGCAGTCGGGATGGTGTAGCAGCTTTTGAGGTGACTGTACTCATTATGGACGTTGAAGGGAATGTTATTCTTCGAACACCTCACAATGCAATTTTCTTCAAAACCTGCCAGAGAGGTATATATATAAAAACATTATTTTTCATTACCTTTTGTGTTGTGGATAATAATTTAAAAAGAGAACATTTTTAATGATCAAATTAAAAGGAATTTCCCGTATTAGATTAATAATAATCTTTTTCGAAATCAGAATATTTGAAAAAGTGAGAAAGAAAATAATCCTTACATTTGATATAGCACCTTTCACGTCAGAAGTACGTCACCAAACATTTCAAGGATATATTATAAAGTGGAGAGTCTGTGTATGTTGTAGGTGATTTGAACAATGTAAAAAGGAGTCTCAGAAATGACTCATTAACATGGTCATCTTGATGCTCATTTATAAGTATGTGTATACTTAGAACTTGATTTTAATCTGGACATAACTCATCTTGAATTGGCGTATCGCAATGCAAAGAAGTGAGATCAATATTTCTATAAGACTGGTGAGGGTTTGGATTTAGGGAATCATTCATTCCATGGATTCAGGCAATATTACAGAACTCCCAGTGCTTGTCTCCACCCTTTGAATTGAAATTGGGAATGTGGCAGGGGTATTGCCTGTCATCGCTTCTCTGCTGTTTGCACTTGATCCACTAACTGCTCGTCTTGGTTTATCCAGGCATCAAAGGGATACAGATTAGGAACAGATATCAGAATTCACTGTATGCTGGTAAAATATGCACATTCTTGGCAGAACTGAGCATGCACCTGGTGAAACATTTACTAGGGCTTTATGAGGATTTAGCATGTAGAGGAACAGAGTACTTGAATATCATGGTCCAATTTAATTTAGGGAACTTTGGATCTCAACTTCTCCCCACTGCTGTGTAAAGAAAAGCAGATGGATTGAGTCACTTTTACCCTCCCGTCCCATTGGATGGACTTGTATCAAAACGAATTGAATCCCTTGTGTTAATTGTCCTCTCAATATTCTTCTCAACAATCCTACTAAATATATTCACAAAAAATAGGCTAATGAAACCTCGGATTCATCCAAAGGATGTCATCTCCGCTTCACCAGTTTTGGACTGGTATGTCAACCTAGACTATGCATCAATGGATGCACTTTCTGATTCAGAGGCAAAAGTGCAGGTTTGGCACACATGTGGGTTAACATTTACAGATATTTCCTTTTTTTGTACAAAGCAAAATGCCCCGGTGGATGTCGTAATGGAGGTTATTGCACAGAGAGGCAGGTCTGCGAGTGTCCCGATGGATTCTACGGTCCACATTGTGAGAAAGGTAATATTTAAAACAAAGTTCCACAGACCGCAATTTAACCTCTTTTTGTTCTGCCCCTCTCCTCCGTATTTTTNCTGAAAAGCTTGGATCAAACAACAACAACAACAACAACAAGATTCCATTTATAGAGCGCCTTTCATGTCGGGAGAACCAAAATAAAAGTGGTCAGTCAGATGAACACAGTTTTATGAAAGCAACATTGGATGATAAATTCGTAATTGATGCAGTACACTGTGTTCAATGAGGGCAGTCAATTAAATCCCTCCCCCAGGCTGTGTTGCAAAGGTGCTGAGTAAATGCTTGGAGCTTCCCCACATGAAGGGGAAGGAAAATTGGCAGGTGAATCACCTTGGCAGCTCCTAAACATCAACCAGCAACCAGGCACAGAGAAACATTGTTTGCCTGCCTGGTGGGGAAGTAGAGAAGAGAAAGAAATTAAAATAAAAACTGGAGGATGAAAATTAATGTTACTGATGAATGAATAAGTTAAACAACTTCAGCTATCCAATTATACACTGCTAGTGGAGGAAAAGATTTAAAATAATACTAATAAATAATCCATGCATTTGATATAGCACCTTATCATGTTGTTGAGACACCTCAAAGTGCTTCACGGGATGCACAGTGATCACATTTTTTTTCTTTTGGAGGGATTATTACCTCCGGAAAGCGATCCGCTCGTCAACTAACAACTGGGTTCCTACTTACTGCAAGGTGAAACAGATTTGTTTTAGGAGCTTGGTTAGCATGGATTTGTTTCAAGTCCTCGGTATCCTATTTCAGAAAAAAAAATTCATTTTTATTACTGTAAGTACATGGTGCACTTCTCAGGAACACCACTGCACATTTGGCCTGAAGAATATCTATTCACATGTATTTATTGAGGCATGTATCGAATAATGGTATAGTTTGCCAGAGATCACTTTAGCTGCTATATTTATGTATCTATATGCATATGAAAGAGGTAGATTTTTATGCTTAATTTAAAGCCAGAGAAGGGCAAGATGGAGAGGTGGAGAGGTAACAAGAGAGTTCCAAAGGTAAGCTGTGTAGTTGCTGAGGGCTCCGCCACCAATACTGGTTCAAAAGGAGCAGGGGTAATGCAGTAGACCCAAGTTACCTGAGTAGAGGGGAAGAGCAGAAGAAGAGTGGGGTAGGAGAAGATCAGAAGCATAGGCAAGTGTTAGGGCATGAAGGGATTTATAGATGCGGGTGAGGATGATCTTGAAGTCAATACATGGAAGATGCTAGCAAATTCTAGGGTAATAGGCATGCAGAGTTTGGTGCAGGTGAGGATGCGGGTGGCGGAGCTTTGTAACAGTTGGAGCTTAATGATGATAGCACCAGGGAGACTGGCGAGCGGGGCGTTTGAGAAGTCGAGTAGGGAAGTAACAAAGGTGTGAATGAATCAAGATTTTGGCAGCATATGGCGTGAGATAGGGGCTGAAGCAGGCAATGTGGCAAAGCTAAAGACATAGTAAGATGTTGCTTTGTATTTATCATTCCTTGCATGGCAAGTGCCTGATCCCTGCTGTGTGCAATCAGTATGAGGCCCAGAATGAAGCAGGAAAGGAAAAACAGTATAAGTCATTTCAGGCACACATCCAAGATCCATCGCTAGAAGCCTGCTAGCAGCCCGTCTGTTTGCTGTCTCGGGGAGCCAGGGAAAAGAGGGGCGGAAAAAATTATACATTTCAAAAATATCTAGTGAAACGGACACTTCATTTGTGAAATATTTGTACAATGTCATATCATGTGACTCAGTGTATTTAATATTCATTTCAGAAAATGCTTACATTCTTTTATTTTGGTAGCTCTTTGTGCTCCGAGATGTCTGAATGGAGGACTCTGTGTCAGTCCAGGCTTGTGCATCTGCCCTCCTGGATACTTTGGCATCAACTGTGACAAAGGTAAGCATCAAGAAAAAAACTGTCGGTCAACCCAATAATCCTTTAAGTCATATGTTATGTTGAATGTTTGTGCTGAACAAGGTGCCGGATCTTTGCACTTCACAACGTATAACACCTGGCAAAATGTCCACATTGACTATTTCCAGATCAGATACAGAAATCAGATGCAGATAAATCCCTCTCTATTGTGGGCCAATAATATTCTTTAATACCAGTCTCAGAAGGGAACCTCTACTCCATGAATGAAACTTTCCACATAAGCTATCCAATGGTCTCGTTGACAGTGCCACAATCTAGCTCTGATTATAGGTAGCTTTGTATTGTGATTTACATGCACTTGGTTGAGACTGCTCAAACTGTAGGATTATTATGCATGGCTTGCACGGAAGACTTTCAACTATCAACCTGGGCTGTATTCAAACCCTGACCCCAAAGGTAAAATAACAGTGCACTAGCCATTGAAACCATGTTTAATCATTCATCTTTCCAATATGTTCATTTATCCTGGAAGTACATTCATTGCAGCTATATATTCATCCACTATACAATTTACATTTACAGCTAAAAAGTCACTGCAGCAAACGTAGATGTTGTTATTTGTGTATGTGTCATAAATTATAATGTTACACTATAATAATAATCTTTGCATTTTGTATATCACCTTATCAGCAATGTCCTACAAACAGACATGATTTTATATACTAAAGTAAGTGAGGGGAAATCCAATACCGGCTGATAAAATAAAAAAATTGATTTTCTCCTCATGAATAATAAATATTTAGTGGACGTTGACTTAGTCTATGATGCATAAATGTGTTAAATTGAGGTAAGAAAGTCCATCAAATCTGAATTATTATTGAAACAATTTTTGTACTGGCAGTTTATATGATGTAAACTCTTGATAGGAAATTGTCTAGTATTTTATTCTGCCATTTACTCTCATTTCAGCAAACTGCAGCACAACATGTTTCAATGGTGGAACATGTTTCCATCCTGCCAAGTGCATCTGTTCACCAGGATACGAGGGAGATCAATGTGAATACAGTCAGTATCAAACTTCTACTCTTGTTATGATCAGTTTGTTCCTGGCTTGTTACTTGTAATTTCAGTAAAACATGTGACAATGCAATCCTTGTGATGGTGACCAAGCAGTTTTAACTTTTGCTCTTGGATCGGGAGCTAAATGGTACAAGTATATTGCTTTTGTTTGCAAATAGTGGTTGCCTGGTAAACTTTGCTGCCTACTGACAACTGCTTAAAGGGACCAGAGCTATTCACAGGATGATCGAAGTGAGGTCTAAAACTGACTAAACAAATTACTTCAAAACTTTGCGTTTTAACTACTGCACATTTAAAACCAAAGTGGTAAATGTACACATTTAAAAAAGACTTCAATGCTAGAGTACTAATGAAATTAGCAAACTAACAGTCCATGTGATCTTAGAATCAAATGTTACATTGAGGACCACTGAATGTCTTTGAAGTTCATGCGTCTGTGCCGTTTACATTATCAACATGGTAAATATCTTGCGCTGAAGCCAGAAATTTATTTATTTATATTTATTTTAAAACTAAGAGTTGTAGTTCACTTTTATTAAGTCATTCATTCCCTACAGAATAACCAAACATTACATTTTCACTATTTACATGAAGTCCTTTCAGTGAATTTGCTCATCAGCAAGGAAATTATTATTTGTTTAAAATCCTTGAATTTTCCAATGCATTGCCTGGAAGAAGCCATTTATTTCACTGTTTTCTTAACAAACTCTAAACAAACACAATTAAGTAAACGTAGCTTTAGAATCTATTGGTCAAGAATGGTTGCCCTCCTGTGTCAAAAAAGTTAAAGCTCTATGGTCTTCCTCTCATGTAGGTAAATGCCGCCAACCATGCAGAAACGGAGGGAAATGCACTGGGAAAAACAAATGCAAGTGCCTTAAAGGTTACCAGGGTGATCTGTGCTCTAAACGTAAGTATCATCAGTGAAAACTACGTTGCATCCTCTTTGCACCCTTTCCTCTTTGGCTATGAATTCTGTTCCTTTCTTTGATCAATAAGTGGACATTCCAGTGGAATTGCACAATATGTTTTGGGTTTCTGGAGTTGACGTTAAACTCACAGCAGATACAGTGATGTTTGCAAAACTGAAAGAAACCGAGTCTTTGAGAAAAGGGGGTGTGGCAAGAATGATTAACAAGTATTTATGGGATAGGGGGAATTTCCCCGTTTTTTAAAAAAGAATGCCTTTGAGCCTGGAAAGGACTCTTATCCTTATTAATGCTTCAGCTTATTTTTTTAAACTAAGAAAATAGAAATCCTGCAATTTGGCCATTACTTAGTGCCTACTACCAGCAGGCTTCCCAGTTATTATTATTAGCGACAATGAGCTGCTATTTATGATTCTTGCTGAGAACAGCCTCTTTTTGGACCCCATTAAATCCCACAGTAAATCCCATGAAGCGCTTTGAGACATCCTTTGGACGTGATAAGGCGCTATATCATACCATACTAATGCAAGGATTATTATTGATTATTATTTGCGCCTTGGGATGTCCTCCCGACGTGAAAGGTGCTATACAAATGTAATTGTGTTGTACTGTGTTAGTAACATTAACACTGATTGTGCAGCAAATGGATAGCAAAAGCTACTGATAGTTTTTACTATTAAACTAATTGTAAATGGGGTGGTGGGGGGGTGGTCGTGGGGGGTGGGGGGGGCTTTGTTAGAAAGATTAAACCTCTATGCTTTACTTTCTGCAGCTGTTTGTGAACCTGGCTGTGGATCTCACGGATCCTGTATTGAGCCGAACAAATGCGAGTGTAGAGAAGGCTGGCATGGAAGACACTGTAACAAGAGTAAGTGGGAACAGAAGTGTATGCAGCCACCCTGATCTATTTCACAGTCTTTTTGCCAAGTATAACATGTGATCTCAAGAATGGATTTACTCCCAGTTAAATTCGATATCTTTTTACTAATTACTGCAGTTCTTTGATTGCATTTAGTATTTTTAAAATCATTAAATTACCTCCAAAACAAAAATGGAATTTTTTCCCTCTGCGAAATGTAGCACACAAGATCATAAAACAATTGTTGAATGCTAAACTCAACTAGTTACTGTGGCTAATCAAAACTATAAGTGGATTTGAGAGCACTGGGTTACAGAGCACATCTTTGAAATTCTACCACTTGAGCATAGCTTTATTGACATATTTCTGCCGCTTCCTCTAACGAGTTATCTTTCACCAGATTCTCTGTTGAAAGTATTTCACATTTACATGAATATCACAGATGTTGTAGATGTATCAGCTGGTTGTTTTTAGCTTGTGTTTCTGTTCTTTTTTTACTAAAGGATATGGACCCAGCCTAATGAACACCCTGAGGTCAGCGGACTTTAAGCACAGACAGCATACGCCTTTACCTAAGGAGAACGTTAACAGTCACATACCACCAGAATCTAATTACATTTGGTAAAACAAAACATCTGAAACTTGTTACTGTATGTACAGTTTACTACTTCACTAACCCCACTTAGTACTAAAATTTAAGTTTGTTTGGGAAAAAAAACAACTTCTCTGTTGCCATATTATTTTTAAAATGTCATGTACGTTATGGCAAGGATATCTATCTATATACCACAGCTAGAGCAACCAGTAAGCCATAAACTGGGTTTCTCTATTTATCACAGCCCTGGACTCTTTCTGTAACATTTAATAATAATAATAATCCTTGCATTTGATATAGCGCTTTTCACGTTTTCTGGACATCTCAAAGCGCTTCACAGAATATGCTGTAAAGTGAATTGACCGTATATTTGTGGGCGAAACGCAGCAGCCAATTGTGCACAGCAGTGTCCCACAAACAGTCGTGGATTGAAAATGACCATTTTATTATTGTTTTGTTTTTACATTAATACATTAATACATTATTGCAATGTTGCCCACAAAATACACAAGTTAATCTATTTAACAGTGTATCCTGTGAAGGGCTTTGACATATCTCAATGATGTAATAAGGCCCTATATCAAACGCAAGGATTAAACTACAGCCAGGGTATCCAGCTACATTATAACATTATTTCCAATTTTTACATCTCAGCAAAACTATTGAATTTAGAATAAATAGCTGGCCAATAGCTATGCTAACAAAACATTGCGACTACAAACAACAAAAGTGATGTGGTTGCCTTCTATACAGCATCTGTTATTTGTTGAAGCCAGGATGGATGGCTGGCAAACCAGTTGGAAGGAGGGGGGAAGGGGTCGTGCCAAGTTTTATATTTTTATACACACAAACACATTTATTGAACAAATCAGTATTCAGAAAATGTTTGTGATTTATGCATCAGCATTGCTACTACATACAAATAAACAAACAAGCCACATCAAACCAATTGCCGAGAGAATTTTGTCCAGTTCTTGCTCACAAGCCTTCTGATTGAAAGCAGATTTTCTTTTTTGAAAAACAATGTTTCAGTTTATTCTACAGCTTATCTTCAGCTTTAGTGCAAACAATGTAACCTGTTGTCTAAGCTCTTAGTATTTCTAAAATGAAATCATGCATCTCCACATTGTGGAATCCTTTGTTGATGAAGGTTGACTGTAATACATTATTGCATTGAAACACTTGTTGAATTTTGGTAATGTCAATTTATGGTAGAAATAACACTCACAACATTGAAACGGCCTTTCAGACCATTTAACCTATTACAGAAATACATCTGTAATTTTTCATATTCCACCACCCCCAGAGTATAGGTACTAGCAGTCCATATTAATCTAAATATGTTTCTTTCTCAAATATTTCATATCATTGTGTATAATGTTTTTTTAAAAATGCTTAAATAATAAAACATAACGTTTAATTATTATGTATAATTTACAAGGCAAATTAAGAAACTGCTGTATATGTATCTGTACAAATATGAACTAAATAAAGGTTTCATAATTCAGAAAGCAGCATTGCAAATTGTTTTACCGGAGACATAGATTTAAGTAAAATGGCGTTAGGTTATCTTTGTGTTTTTTTTTTGCTGTGGTGTTGCCACTTTGTGTCTTTCTTTAATCAGTGGGAACAGTTGATACTGTAACTGACAGAGCAAAGTGAAAATCTCTCGGTTACAGTACTACTATAGTTAATTCACAATGCTGGAAGTTCCTAAAGGATTTTGACCTGCCACTGAAGGAACTACTTCAGTAAATCCTGTGAAACACTTTTGGATGTTTTGACAACATGATAAAATGCTACATTAAATGAAAGTGTTATATATTTATGTACTATATCATTTTTATTTTTGTTTTTATTATTAAATCAGCAGACTTTGTCCAATTTGCAACCTTTAACTATTGAACTATACTTGAAAGTTCAAGTGGGCATGTTTGACCTGGTCTGTAGACTTAGTGAATAAAGTGTGTGGTGGGGTGGGGGCACAAAACAAAGTACAGTACTGACAGCTTATATTGCTTAATATTTCAACAGTGCTAACCTTATCTTGATAAATATATGTAGGAGATATATTACATTATAATTGTTTTACACATATATTGAACAAAATGATGTTACTGGAGACTTGATAATTTATTGTTGATGAATAAACAAATAGAAGCGATTACAGATCTATGTATAACAATCTTTGCATTTGATTTAACACCTTTTATGTCAAGAGGATGGCTTAAAGTGCTTCACATGGTTCACTGTAAAGTGTGACTGCATTGTTTTAGGAAAATGCAGCAGCCAATTTGCCTAAGAGGCTATGTCCCACAAACAGCCATGAAGTGAATAAAAATATAATCTAGGGTATTATTGGCTAGGGACACCGAGAGTTTTACAAAAATAATATAAAGTTAAGAAAAGAAAATATACAACAAACTTAAATAATGCAACATAATTTAAGTTAAAATAATAAAGCATAAGAGTAACAATTGGAAGACAAGAGAACATGTCAAGAAGGGGGTGGTGAACATGGAAGGACCGTTGGTTGGTTAAGTTGGCAACTTGGTCTTATAAAGCCCGAAATTCCACCTTGTCTTAGTCTCTCAAACCATTTTATGATTTAAGATATAATTTAAGCTGTTGCGTTTTAAGAGCTTCCAAAATCCAGCTTCTAAATGAAAACTGAATTGAAGAAGTTTCCACAGTCTGCTCCATTCGCGGATTAAGACAAAATGATCTTACAGGCACAGTGCGACTAAATGGAATTTTGAGCCTCGAATGGAAAAATTCCACACACATTAATTAGCTTTCATTGTAAATCCATCTTAAGTGTTTGTCGTTAAATGATGCAATCAAGCCTTTTGAGCATATAGTCCCCTGTTCCACTTTCTAAGATGTTTCTAACTAGTCTCTCCCAAGACCGCACTGCAGTTTAACGTCTAGGTGAGTGGCCAATTTCCAGATCACCTCTAAAGCTGCTCATCACCAGGAGGTATTGAAGAGCGACCCAGTGAAGATTACCATCCGATCATCTGGTTCTCTCCCCCCCCACACACCTTCTCTTAAGCACTCAAGCACGTGTCTGTCTTTTCTGGACACCTCTCCACTGCAGTGTGAACGAGTTCAGGAATTCAGTCAACTGAGGGCTGGGGGCAGTATATAAAGAATGTGATCCCACACAACCGGCATTGATGCTCTGACACACATTCTAAAAGTGTCTCATTTCCTTTGATACTGAACCCTGTGAGAACACATTAGAATCACATAGGCTATGTTCTATTAACGTGGGAATAAAATAAAAGTAAAAATGCAAAACCTGGCGAGTGTGGCACAGCAGCTGTGGTCTCTGCAATAAATGGAAGATAATTGCGGATTAGAAAAGCTGCACTGTAATCCTTTTGATTTGCCATAACATATAGACACATGAATGATCCAACATCAGAGGGTGAAATGCAAGAACATATGTGCAGACACGATTCATGAGCTCACTCCTCAGCTGCCATTCTGTCGTAGTGAGCTTTTTTTCCCCTCTCAATGCTGTTTCTCTTTCAATTCATTGGGGTGTAAAAGCCACTTAAATCTTGGCGGCCCTTCAGCTTTTCACTTTGTTTTCATGGCACAAAACTGTCACAGCAAGTGCTAACGTCAATTCTTCGGAATGAAATGAATGGGTGAGGAGTTCTCAGGCGAAGCTGTTCTCCTAATAGTCCCGCCAGTATGCCAGAGGGTATGACTCAAGAGAAGCTCAGTTACTACTTTATGCAACAAGTCAGATCTGTAGTATTGCACTTACTTTCACAGAATCCTTTTGGCGCTTGACTTAAGAGCTCACTGGTGAAACTTTGAATTGTGTCACTTTAACACCATATCAGGTTTTATACTCGCACATTGCAGCCTGCATATAGGGATGTGCTGCTGGCCTATCCTTCCCCCAGGAAACTTGATTCCTAGCTCACTCTATATATTTTTCGTGAAACACATGCATTGCAAATGTTCTCTTCCCAATTTGACAGCTAAAGAAACAGAGGAACAGTACACTCTTGGGCTTTCAATTCACCAATTGGATTAATGTTTCTGTCTCAGTAACTGAACACTTCCTCAAAACCTTTACAAAAATGTAAAACCGTGTTGAATGACATTAAATAATATCTACAGCAGTTTTTTCCCACAAATAAACAGGAGTAATTCCTTTGATTTACATGTCATGCGAAAGGTGATGAGGTGTTGAAGCAAGGAGATGCTTTAATATGTTGTACCATTCATTGGTTGGATATGGGCTCATGCTGTTTGTTATTCACCACATGGCGAGCTCTGAATTGCAACTGCGCCATCAACAAACTCGGCCTTTCCCCACACACAGCCAGGGAAAAAAACTAGGAGGGCAAGTAACCTGAGATCCACTCTTACTCACCTCCTAAAGCTGTCTTAAAAGAGACTTGTTGACAAGCCTGGGAGCAGCCTTGGACTCAGGACAATGCATCGCACTGACACCTGAAGGTGGAAAGCAAATGGAATAATCCAATAATGGAAACAAAAAGAGCTCACGTGAATTAAGACAAACGATTTCATTACTCTTAATTAAGTTGTATTTCTACCAGAGGCAATGTGTCAAAATCTGAATTTCTAAATCGGAGATTCTGAATGCTATTACGTTGGAGATATTTACTATGAATGCCATTATATTGGAAGTTTTTACAATAAATATCATATGGATATCTTTACTATAAATGCATTAAAAATGTTGACAATTGTCTCAGTGTATATTTATCCGATAATTGCTATGTTTAATGTAACCTAGTGAAGGCATTTTATTATTGAAGATTTTTAAATCCACATTATTCTGCAGACAGATACACTATAGACGAAGCTATGAGCAAGAAAAAAAACAAGGCCTTTCAGCCTTCGAACCAATAATGCCAGGCTTCATTGCAATGTTTGCTTAAAGAACATTGGCTGTGAACGTATTGCTATTGCAAGCATGACCTGGCTTTCTGTTAATTAAAGTTTGGGAAGACAAATAGTCCTGATGGGATGTGAATAGTAACCTTGGAGTACACTGAAGAGACGTGCTGTTTAATTAAACTCCTCCATACAAGCACTCTCTTCATTCAATGAAATCAGAGCTTGTTATCATAGCGCTGGAGATGAAAAGCATATTATTGCTAAATTGTTTAGCTTCAGCCTTAGAAGTGAAGAAAGCAAATACTGTGGGGATTAGCACATCCAAAGTCAAAAAACAACCATATGCTAGTCATCAACAGAGTGAGTAAGCACAGGCTAACTTATTTGAAAAAGACTGAAGCAAAGTTTGTGTAAAACGTTTTGGCACAAAGCAACCATCATAGTTAGGATTTGTATAGGGTGCGGAGGGAGGAAAGAATAACAACTAACCAAGAGGGCCTCGGTCTTGTTGAAATTCAACTGTAGAATGTTAGCTCTCATCCAGGACTTGATGTCTGCCAGACATTCTGTCAGGACAGCAGTGGTCCTGGAGTTGAGGGTGGGGGCAGAGAGATAGAGTTGGATGTCATCCGCACTCATGTGGAAGTTCACCCCATGTCTGTGGGTAATGTCACCAAGAAGGAGCATGTAAACGTTGAAGAGGAGAGGACCAAGGACAAAGTTCTGAGGAACACCACACAAGATGGTCTGGAGGAGAAGCCTTTTATGAAGACAAAGTGGTCTGGAGGAGACGCCTTTTATGAAGACAAAGTGGAGACGGTGTGGAAGGTAGGATCTGATCCAGTAAAGGACAGAACCATGATGACTGAGGTGAGAGGAGATGCGATGGAGGAAGATAGAGTGGTCAACAATAAAACCTTAATTTAAAGATTGTCTACTACTGAACTCAACAATGAAACAATTTTGTGCCCAAGGCTTTTAATTGTCAAGCAGTACAATATTGTTTACAATGTACAATATACAGCATTAATGGTATGCAATGTAAAATGTAACTTCCAGTGTCATGGAAGCCTCACTTGTGTTAAAAAAATGAATGTTTGACTGATCAGTGAATGAAATATTACATGAAGTTTATGGTGAATAAAATATTAATTTTCATAATGCGTTATTTATTTGTTGATAATGCTAACAAGTGTCAAGGAAAGGTTATTAATATGATCAAATGATCATTTTTCACAAAATCCCTCACTCCTAATTTCAGTGATTTCATGGTTTCACAATTTTACTGAACATTTCGGGGATTTTGCGAACGGACAAGAGGTGAATTCTCTTCCGCAATCCCAACACCCATCACCTTACAGTGAAATAGCATGCTGACCCTCATTGTCAATGCTCACACTGGATGACCAATTGGCTGAGGAACCGGAGGCCCCATCTGGCATCCATGTAGCCAAACCCCAGTAAAATAATAAAAGATGTCTTCAGGAGAAAAAGGGAGGAAAATAAATTAGAATTGCTTATGTTGAAAACATTGACACTGAAGAGAATCAAACTCACTATGCTGCCACCCATCAAAGTTTCTTATAACCTGCTTATAGTATTTCCATAACTAACTTTCCAT